TGCGTGCCATCAGCAAAGCTTACATTAGTATGGGGGGTGGAGGTGGGCAGATTTTAATGATTCATTCCCCTCTCCCCCATCGTGTCTTCACAATTGGGTCAAATAAACTCTCAAGGTTGCCATCATGCCACCGCGCTGCCGCCCACGTATCGCAAATCACGTTTCCGCGAATCATACGTATACAGGCAAGAAAAAGACGTATTTTGAAGAAATTAAGCTATACTTCAAAAATATGCGAGTTTTTAAACACCAAAAATGTACAGCATGGCGAAATTTGAATTTGTAGTTAAGCATGTATTTGGTCACATTATTTTGATCCAATAAGTGGATTTAATGCTGAATAAGTGTTTTGGTCGGGAATGCTGACTTTCTAGTTAAGTGTATTAAGGGTTATGGAAATGAATTTCGGCGACAGAACCGAATTTGTTTTATTAGTATAGAAGAACTCCAAAATAAGTAAAAAAGGTGTACAAAATAGTCCGAAATTGTTCAGATGCAAGCGAAGCCAAGCTTAGCGAATCGTATTTATTTTGGGAACGAGATAAAAATTTCAATTTTGAAACTTATTTTTTGTTAAACTGTGAAGGTTTTGCCACAAATTTCAGTAACAAAAGTTTTTAAGCGCCTTTTCATTTTACCGCATCAAGTTTTTGGATTAACGTTTAACTTATTTGCTGGATTCTGCCAACCAGAGATCGGTCTTATCTCGTGTAAATTTTCGTGCCATGACGGGCAGTTTTTGGTTATGCACCGAACAATCAATACATTCAATTCAAAGATTTTTAGTTCCCGCAAAATTCCCAAGGCATTTTTGTAACGTCTACTGATTTTGGCTTGCGCAATTTGACATCACCATGAGTTACTATTTCCGAATTAGTAACTGCAGACGTTTGTTCCTTCATGGACTATTTTGTTACGTTTATCCGGACACATTTTTCACACTCTCTCATATTCAAAGTTATATTTTTAAATATTCTGCTAGCACAATGCGTGTGTAAAAAATAGGGACCTCAAAGGTGCACGCACATATTTTCCTCAAAAAAACCGAAGTTAATTGAAAAATATACATATTTTAATAAAAATAATCACACTGGGGAAAGAGATTCAGCGATATACACTGAACTCCGTAGCGAAAACACATCGGTTCAGCACACTATCAGACAAAGTAATAAACAATCCGGGACATTGCCGCACTCTCTAAACGGTACGGTACTCAACCAAAATCTGACAAATACAAAGTCTCATCGTGATTTTGGCGAGTCCAGCACTTGTTCTTCCTATGTTGCACTCTAAGATGTTCACAATTTAAAGATTATTTTGCCTAAAGCAAAACATTTTGTCCGAGGATAGTCGAAGGTTTGCATCCAAATCACTCCTGTCATTCAACAGTTCCCCGTTCAATGCAGTTACCGATTAATAGAATAATTATAGATTCGGGGATGGTCGTATAATCAAGAATGCAGAATATGAAACATTTTTTCACAGGTATAAAATTGAAGCAGGCAAAAGCGGTAGAATTTATTTGCACAAATAAATTTCGAGAGCGCTTTTCAACTGCTACCTCCCTTTGCATGAATAATGAAATAATTGGAGAACACATCATTTTGAATTTTCACTGGATCGATAATAGCAAGGTCATTGTAACGTGGCAAATGTTCAATAACATGTCAACTTAAAACTTCGGAAGAAAAGTAGTGAGAGGAATTAACAAGAACAAAAGCGTGGCATGCATCTACCAGGGTAATTGCACGCCACCCCTAACTGCGTCTATGAGTTCACGTGCACTTGCGGATGCATATACTTCGGCCGTAAGCAAGGACAACTGGCGATCAGGGCTGCTGAATATTTGCCTGCATGGCTTTTAAAACGAGAAAACAAAGTGCCATGGTCATCAGTTACAAAAAAACACTTGCTAGGCAGTGGTCACTCCGTTGACATTAACACATCTTTCGGAATTCTTTTTCGAGCATGAACAAACCGAACCTTACTTAACATGGAAGCAGCCTACATACGGCGTGAGATACCCGACCTATGTGAGCAATTAGACAATGTATTTAATCTTCAATTGCCCTGGTAAATGCATGCCACAATGTTTATTCTTGTTAATTCCCCTCACTACTTCATGCCAAGTTTAATGTTGACATAAATATTGACCAGTTGCCACGTTAACATGACTTTGCTATTATCGATCCTGCGAAAATACAAAATGATGTGTTCTCCAACTGTTTCGTTATTCATGCAAAGAGAGGCAGCAGTTGATAAGCGCTCTCAAAATTTATTTGTACAAATTTAGTCTGCGGTTTTTTTTGTCTTTTTCAAAAATGCAGATATCAGCTAAAAAACACTGGAAGGATTCACAAAGAGCCACAGACACTGGGCGTGGCAAAAAAGAGGAAAAACTGACCTGCCAAAGGTTTCTCCCACGATCACATGCCATTGTGGCCCAAATTTCATGTCTAGACACTGCCTTATTGCAGTGCACAGATCGAGCGGATCGTCATAGGTCTTACAGGCGCGAGACACCATCTCTAGGAAGAAAGCCTCCACCTTCTCGTTGAGGTCTTTGCGGATGTATTGCGGTATGCCAGCACAGGGGTCTGCCTGCTGTACGAGACATCTGAATTCTGCATTCATTTTACACTGCATCGTGTATGCACGCGGTGTTTGTCGACAAATGTTCAAAGTAGTCGTGCAAGTTACATATATATGTATACATTGAATTCATAACTGATAACTACAGTGACCCCTTTGTCCCATCTCTGATTGGACGATACCAGACGTTTAGCATCCGTAAGTCTTTAATCCAGGTAAATCTGATTCTTAATTGAATTTGTGAGCAGTTGAATTTGAGGCGGTTCAATTGAATTAGGGGATGTGAGTACCCTTCAAGGATGCCGTTGTTGATCCCCATGGGGAAACTTTTTACGCGGACCTGGGTCTGTTTAAATGACAATTTAACTGAACAAGCCCTTCCTTGACAGCCTGTAAACTTAATTTACGCCATACTGGCTTAGTTAGGTGGTGAGTTGAGAGCAGTTTGCGCACATCTCCCGTAAAACGGACTTATTAACACTCTAGTTTGTGGGACAACAAGGAATTCCCACGCATCTCACGCGAAGATCAATCTCATCTAAATGTTCTAGCAAAGAAGCATTAGTTCGAAAGCAGCTTAAAAAAGCCTCAACCTGTGTTTCATTATCTCCCATAATCAGTCGCAAATTATGCAGCGGACAGGGAAAGTGGGAATGAGTTTCAAAGATTGATTAACTCCCTGAAGTGGTGAAAAGTACCCGCGCTAAAGCCTTTTAGTCTAAGAGACTAGCATAATCGCCAGCCAGATCCCATGCTGATGCCGACACATGTAGTCTATCACTCACGTAGGCGTGTTTAAGCCATTAGTTTTAGTTCAATATAGTTTATTTGAGTGTAAGTTGAGATTTCAGTTGTACTTTTCAGTTCCATTAGTTTTAGTTTATGAACTTTAGTACCCCTGCTAACGCAAGGGCTTTCAGTACAACAATTACAGCAAATCATTTTCACCTGCCGTTTCGGTACACGAACGCTTCTATTTGGTTTAGAGAATAGGCGAAATGACCGGATATGAACCAAATGAATGGTGAAAAAGCAATCGCATTAATCGTGGTCCACAAATTCCTATTTTACGGTTCTCTCAATCAGAAAATACATTTTAAGTATATGCAACTCAGTGGAATTTTCCCACGCGTTGGGCTTTCACATTCACAACTGTTAAATAGGTAATGAAGAAAAAGGACAAAAAATCCGTTATTAAGTGCTTGCTGGTACCAACTCATGAAGGCGAGTAAAAGAAGCAGTATAAGATGTACCAGTGTTGTATAAGGCAGGCAATGTAATCGAGTGTCAATAGCTACGCTATTGGGGCTTATCTTTACATCCAGGTTGATGAAGGCAGTCTGAAAGTTGCACTTCATGGACAGAGCAACATTTGCGTAGTATTTGGGCGCCTTTTCTTTGCCTGGCATCCCCACATACGGTTTGACAAAATGGATGTTTGCTCATCTGAAGTTCCCGGCAGCAGGCTCAACGACAACCATAGCTTCTGCTAGACAGTTCCCTGAACGAATAAGACATCTGAAGTTAGAGCCAGACGAATCCATGGTATCTTTTGATGTTGTATCACTCTTCACCTCCATCTCACAGCAACTGGCAATTGATGCTGTGAGATCACTTCTAACTGGACACTACGACGAGAGGGACAAGCCCCTTAAGTCTAAGAATCTGCTCGAACTTTTACGGTTCTGCCTTAAAACCCACTTCACATTTAGAGGACAAAGGCATGAACAAATTAAAGGCACCCCAATGGGCTATCCCCTATAAGGCCTGATTGCTGAAGTGGTCCTTCAAAGGATTGAACACTTAGTCTACACCAAGTAGTACCTGAAGTTTTGGGCTCGTTATGTCGATGAAACTTTCGTCATTATCAAAACATCCGACATTGAGCACCTCAAAGCATTACTAAACTCGGTTGACCGGAACATCCAATTCACGATGGAATAAGGGAGAAATAACCAACTTCACTTCTCCGATGTCCTGGTGCGCCGTTGCTTCATTGGACTACTGCAAACCGCAGTATTTAAAAAAAGCCACCAGCACGAAACAAATACTCCACTTCAAAAGCAATCAACCCCTGTCTAACAAATGTAACTGTGTTCTTACTATTTTCCAAAGAATTGAAACACATTGCAGCACAGAAACTGACAATAGAGTGGAACAACAATACCTATGTGACCTCTTTCGAGCTAATGGATACCAGAATTCTTTTATCAAACAACGCAAAAGCCGAGTGAACAGATGGCAGGCAGCAAATCCGCAACCCGAAATCTGGATGGCCCTTCCTTACATAAAAGGAGTCTCCGAAGCAGTCTCTCGACTGCTACAACGCGCTGGAGTAGGCATGGCCTATCGACCACAGGCGAAAATATGCTGCCGAGGGATACAACCTAAAGCCAGAGGCCCCCCACTGAAACCTTTGCAGTTGCCTACAAAATACGTTGCAACGATGGAAACTGTAATTACACTGGAGAAGCAGGACGCAAATTGCAGACCCGTCTACAAGAACACAAAGCGGCAGCCCGGAGACTATACCCTAACTAGCAGCTTGCCACACATATCGGAGAGACCGGCCACGATTTTGATATTCAAGGAACAACCATCATAGGCGTAGGAGCCTCAAAAGCAGAATGCTTGACGCTTGAAGCATGGTACTCAGAAGCCAATTCTGTCAACAGGCATCTGGACCTCCCTGCGGGCTAGAAAGTCCTGCGCCATTACATAAGTAAAGGACAGGGCACGGTCAAACCGAAGTAAGGATTAGCAGACAAAGACGGCCCTGTGACGAAACCACCAGAAGAGGTAGCAGGATTGCCAGCATCTTCTACCGTGGAGACAGAACAGACCACCAATTGCCATCGCGGAGAAAAGTCGATCAACCCAAGGCTAACACTTACAGCCGCAACTTTAAACTGCTGATCGATAAAAGTCAGTATTCGCTTTGACAAATGACAGCAGGCCCAGCTTTCCGAAACGTCAACGGATCTCCAAATTTATTTCCTGTCAGCAGAAGATTACTTATAACCGTACTTACCGATCAGCAGTTTGAAGTTGGGGCTACACGAGTTGGCCGTGAACTGATCGATTTTTCTCCTCGTTTGTTGCCCGGTCCCTCGTGCAAATTTTTGGCGTAGGTTGAAGGCAGTTGGGATTGCTTTTCGTCTCCACGGTGGAGGATGCTGGTATTCCTGCGAACGAGAAAAAAAGTGACCAGTTCACTGGCGACCATTACAGCCATTTCATGAACTTGTCTGCAGACGCAAAAAAAATAATGAGGTGCGTGAAAGTTGCTAATATTATAGCACTAATAGTTTGCGGAGCAAGTCAGTAAAAGTACCGGGACTGGGAGATGATTTAGAATTAACACTTTCCAATTGTTTGCAGAGGTTGTTCATGGAAAAAGTAGTTACTTCATCTGTTTTTTCGCCTTTTATGGTCTTCTCAAGAGTAATAACAAGTTTTTTGTTAAGGAACGTATTCCCTCTTGTCGCAAAAACCCCTTTATGAAGGCCTTTTCCAAACCGGACTATTTATCACGTTCGATTGTGCAGAGGTCAAAAGGTCTTACGTCGTAATATACCATACTGCTACATCGTCCGATTAAGCTTCTACTTATTTGGTTTCTACATGAAGAGCTAGTGCGAAAGAATTTGAAAGTCGCCACAAAATCCTCATTCCATTTCTCTTTTGCCGCCGTAGTTTATTATTCAGCAGACACTGTAATATGATAGTAAAGGTACATGATGCGTTAATCAATTCAAACGCATCGAGAAAGGAAGGTGACTATTGGCCACACCAAACCCTCATGCGAGAGTAACAGGTCTAAGTCGAATGAGAGGTGAAAAAGCACTCGTGTTTATCGCTTAATGGTGGTCCCCCAATTACTTTCCACGATTCTCTCAATCTAAAAATTCATTTTAATTACACGCAATTCAGAAGAATGTTCCCACGCGTTGAGGTCTAACACTCACAACTGTTTAATGACAAATGAACAAAAGTGAAAAAATCCATTAGCAGATACTTGCTGTCTCGAAATCATAAAGATGCGCAAAGGATGCGGGAGCAGATATACCAGTCATGTAGAACGCAGCAGCTACGGTATCGGGAGTTAGTTCCACATCCAGGTTATTAGTGCTAGGCTTGCAGGAGAGGATTTCTTGAATTAACCTGAGGGAGCAGGTCAAATTAGTAGATGCATAAAATATGCTGTTATTATTACTAAACTTTTGCGCGTATACCCCTGCAATGCAATAAGGACTCCTTACAGACAAAAGTAAAGTAATAAATACCCCGGGTTTGTTTTATATGGGACCGGAAGTAAAGGAGTTATGTGGGTAGGACGCATCAGGGGAAGGAAGAAAATAAAAAAAAACTAAACTAAAATAAACTTAATAAACTAAAAAATTAAGTAAACTTAACTTAAACTCTACTACATCTAATATAACTAAACAGTTAAATAAAAAAAATAAATTATACTAAAACCCAAACGAAAACAAAATTAAACATAATAAAACTTAATACTAAACCTATAACGGAACTAAACTAAATAAAAGACCAGAGCTAAATAAATAGTTTGTTGTTTAAAATGAATCTTTATCACATACATTTTCCGATTGTTTACAGACATCGTTCTTGGAAGAAGTTGCTGCTCCATCTGTTTACTCGCCTTCTTAAGTCTTACTAACAAAAACGTGCCCTTGTGCATCTTATCAAATATTCAGTCCCGACGTAATCACTTTTGAGGTGCGCCTTAGAGCAGAGGCCGTAGGAGCAAGTTTAGGCAGAATGAAGGACGAAAAATCAGTCACAGTATTCGTTCTCCTTGCCCAGCACATTAATTCACACGATTTTCTAGATCAAAAGCTTCATTTCAATTTGAGGCAATCCGGAGGATTTCTCGCACGGGCTGAGGCCTCACACTTTCAACTGCTCTGTACAGGTTTTCTGACAAGCAAACAAAAATGACAAAGAAGACCTTATTAAACTTCTCCAGTTCCTGAACAGGGGCAAAGAAAGCAGCGAAATCGCACTTCAAACCCCCATTT